TGTGCACCTCTGTCAGAATAGTCCTCCTTAAATCATCTACATTAAGCATGCACAGTCCGACTCGTGCATCGCAAAACCCCATTAGAGTCTACATCAAACTCAGCGCTGCTGCTAGTAGCTCGTATATCATCCCTCAATGCACAAAGTCTGTCGTCCCTCTCCTACCTTGCCTTGATCTTGTTGATCAAAGATGGCTATATGTGCAACTAAGCCAACAACCGTCTGGTGTCCTCCACTTGGAACTATACCCCGTCACCCTCCAAACTATACAGGGTTGCAATCAAAGGTCGCATCTCCAGAGCTATGTGCACTAAGCTCCCCACATTCTTCTAACTCAAAGCGTCAGTGACTACATCCGCCTTCCCAAGGTGATATTGTATGGTATAGTCATAGTCCTTTAAGAATTCTAACCATCTCCGCTGTTGAAGGTTTAGGTCCTTCTACTCAAAGATGTACTTCAAACTCTGGTGGTCTATAAAAATTTCACAAGACTCCCTGTACAAATAATGTCTCCAAATCTTCAATGTGAATACCACTTCTCCTAACTCTAAATCATGGGTGGGGTAATTCTGCTCATGCCTCTTAAGTTGTCTAGAGGCATAATCTATGACCCATCCATGCTACATCAGCACGCAGCCTAATCCTGCCTAAGAGGCATCACAATACACCTAAAATTCACCAGTCCCCGAGGGCGAGGCTAGCATAGGCGTAGTGGTCAAACAATTCTTAAGCTTTTGAAAGTTCTCATCACAAGCACCTAACCATTGACCCCTTTCTGGGTCAATCTAGTCAAGGGTGCATCTATCTTAGAGAAATCCTGTACAAAACGTTGGTAATAGTCGGCCAAACCTAGAAAATTGTAAATCGTGGTAATAGTTGTAGGCTTCGGCCACTGCGACACGGCCTCCACCTTATGGGTTTTCACTATGATCCCATCTCTAGATATTATGTGCCTTAGAAGGCCACACTGTCATGCAAGAACTCGTACTTCAAGAACTTGGCATAAAGTTAATGATCTCTCAAAGTCTGCAAAACCTCTCGTAAATGCACGTTGTGCTCCTCCTCACTCCTCGAATACATTAGAATATCGTGAATGAATATAATCTCAAATTTGTCCAAGAAGGCCCGAAACACACTATTCATCAAATCCATAAAAGTCGTAGGGGCATTTGTTAGCCTGAAAGACATAATCAAGAACTCATAATGCCCATACCGGGTCTTGAAAGTAGTCTTGAGAATGTCCTCTTGTTGAATCCTCAATTGGATACTTGAATCAAAGATTTATCTTAGAGAAATGACTAGCCCCACTCAACTAATTGAACAGATCATCAATCCTCAACAACAGGTATCGGTTATGCACAGTAACCTTATTAAGCTATCGGTAGTCAATACAAAGCCTCAAAGAACCATCATTCTTCCTAACAAATAAAACTGGTGCTCCCCAAGGAAAGGTACTTGGCTTGATGAAACCTCTGTCCAATAAATCCTAGAGCTGCTCCTTAAGCTCCCTAAACTCTATTAGAGCCATACGACACAAGGGTACAGAAATGGCTGAGTACCAGGGTAGTAGGCCAATGCAAAACCCTATCTCCCTCTTTGGTAAGAAACCTAGCAACTCCTCAGGAAACGCATATGAGAAGTCACTAACCAACACCTGCTCCAACTATGGTTCCTCAGCCCATGTATCCACTATAGTAGCTAAGAATTCCCGACATCCTTGACTGAGTAATCGCTAAGCCCTCATATATTAGATAATCAGAGTTGGAGTCAATAAGTAATCCCCCTGGTAAACACTCGGTGACTCGTCCGGTGCCTCAAATCGCACTGTCTTATAGTGACAATCTAAAAGTGGCATAACACGACACTAACCAATCCATACCAAGGATCACATCAAACTCCAACCTAGCCAGGAGGATTAAACACTCTATAGACTACCTACGGCGACATTGATCAGACATGCCCTAAAGACCTACGTCACCAGAACAGACTCCCCAACTGGGGTCGCTACAGAAAACAAGCACTCAATAGGTCCGGCTGCATACCAAGCCGTGTCAAAAAACTCTTAGACACATAAGAATACGTGGATCTCAAATCAAATAAAGCATATGCCTCTAGAGAACACACAAAAATCATACTAGTGATCACAACGTTAGGCGCTTGAATGTCTTGATGTGTCAGTGCGTACACTGTGCCTGGTCCTAGCAACTACCTCTGCTTCTACCTCCTATCCCACGACCTCAGGAGCCAGACGACTCCATCCAGAATGACCCTAAGTCTATTGTATTATGCCTACAGCCAAAATAACCTCTAAAGAAATGGAACAGTCCTTGACCTGGTGTCCCTGCCATCCGCATCGAAAACAAGTTCATCTGAGCAACATTCTGAGAGGAAGGGCAGTCCCTAGCTCTATGGCCCTGCTGGCCACATCTAAAACATCTAATAAAAATTTTATATTCGTATCTAATAAAAATTATTAAAATAGAACATCTGATTTTATATTTATCAATTTTAATTTGTGAAAAGTAAATCTATTATTTCAAAATATCTGTATTTTATAGGGAGATTTTAAAAGAATAATTAATAGAAATAATTTGTATAAGTGATAAAATAATTAAAAATAAAATGACAACATCTAATAAATTTAAAAGTTAAATTTGCAAACAAAAATTGAAACATGCTTTTGAGGATTTCTTAAAATATTTTATATGAAGTTGGATAAATTCTGAACACTAGCAAAATTTAAAGTCAGTTTAAAAAATTAATTATTCTATCCCACTGGTTAGAAATCTATTTAAAAATTAAAGTTATAAATTCATACTATTACGAAATTCTAAATAGAAAAATTTAAAAAAAAGGAAGAAGAAGAAGATACGTGACTAAACAAGAAGACGAAGGAAACAGGAGTCTTTCAGGCTAAAGTGGAGAGAGTCCACGAACCCGTGACCGTCCTGCGCTGCCCCACCACTTAAATGATCCGATTTTCCCTGCCACTTTGAGTATAAAAACCCGTCACCAGTTTATGAGGGAAAGTTGAAACACAAAGAGAGCCTTCCTCCTCTTCATCATCCCATCTCTTCTCTCTCTGCTTGGATCCCAAAATGGAGCCAAAATACGTGACGGGGGGAATCTTGGTGCTGATACTACTAGTGGGTTCAGTGATGTCGGACATAGAGAAGGACAGGGAGAAGTGCGGCAACCAATTAGTGGGGCTTGCCACGTGCCTTCCTTACGTTGGCGGTAACGCAAAGGCACCAACCCTGGATTGCTGCGACGGGCTGAAGGAGGTGCTGAAGAACAGCAAGGAGTGCCTTTGTATTTCTGGTGAAGGACAGGAATGACCCCAGCCTTGGACTTAAGATCAACGCCACCCTCGCCCTCGGCCTCCCAACCGCCTGCCATGCCCCCGCTAACATCTCCCAGTGCCCTGGTATGTCTAAATATTAATCTAATTAAAATCCCCTCAGGACGACCTCCGATTTGTTTTAATTTTTTATTGTATTTTGCTTCAGATACATGGAGTTAATTTCTGAACTTCAGAGGGTTTTCTTTTAAATCCTTTTTGCAGATTGCTTTCAGAAATTATTTTCTGAATAATTTTTAAGAAAAAGCATGTTCAGTTTTTTGACAAAAATGAAAAGTTATTTTCTTGAAGTTCTCAAATTTTATTTTGCTCGAAGTCCAAAAAGCTGAGCAATAGAGTTGTCGTGATTTCCAATGTTTTATTTCCAGTGTTTTATGTTTTCAATAACCAAACAGACAGACTTACGGACATCTCTTCTGCTATTGTTTGTAAGTAAGGATGGAGAGGTCAGAGAGAAGAAGTTGCTTACCTTAGGATTTTGATATTTTTTACCGTTTTAATGTTTGGTACGGTAGAATTATTTCCTTGCTGCAATCCCTCACAGGCGTTCCATAGTTTAGATCTCTTCCCTTATTTTTTCCGTTCTCCTCTAATTAATCCAATTAAACGCATAACACTGTTGGACTTTTATAAAGTCTTTCGTAACTTTCTATAACTGAAAGCTCATGGGATGTCTTCCCTGGATTCATCTTTGGGTTATTTGGACTTGTTATAACTCTCCATCACGAATCCGATGAACTTTTAAGTTTTTTTATAACTTAATTTTTTTTTATTTTACATATAAAAATTATAAGACATTTCGCAAGTGAGTTCTTTTTAATAAAAAAGTTGTCACCCACAAAGATATTGTGGCTTTTTCTTAATAGCAAATATTCTTCCTTTCTACCGAGGTTATGGAGAAATCATACTGAAGAAACGCTTATTCCTTTCTTTAAGGCCATGTTTGGGGTCCGAAGAGGTTTTAATATCTTTTTGTAGAATTTGCATACAAGTAATAATAAATAAAATTCACATTGAATTAATAATTATGGTATGATTTAAATATGAACAATTATAACAACAAAAGATTTTCAAAAAATTAAAAAGACAAACACACACACATATTAGTATTGTCAATGGGTTGGATTTGAGTCGGATCTTGCTAGATCCTAGATCTAAATCTAAATTTGATAATGATAAAGTATGTTCAAATCTAATCCAAAATTTTACAAGATATACGTTCAATACTACTATTTCTGAACCTAAATAAAATCCAAAATCTGAAACAACAACCTAAATCCAAATTATTAGATGATTATATCTTTATTATTTTGCATTTTAGAGAAAAATAATTCAAAACTAAAATAAGAAATTCTTAAAAATAAATTAATAAATAATTTTGAAGTTTAAAGTTATAATATAATTATATTTGATCCCTCGCAAATATTATACTTGAGATTGACTTATTAGTAATATATAACAGTTATATTTAATTATTAATTTTTTTTTTATTTTTATAAAAAATGAAATATTTTAAATTTATATTTTTCTAAAAATAATTTATTAATTAAAGTGTGATAAATCAAGTTTATATTATTATATGTATAGTATTATGTCTATACATAATATATATACGTATAAACATATATATACATATATATATACTCATATTCGATTTTTAATAGATTAAATTAGATAAAATTTATATCTACTCCATTTATTTTATATTACAGATTTTTATAGTCAAATTATATTAATTGAATCTTTTATCGATAAAAAATTTTAAATAATTACATCGAATTTAGATCAAATTTATATTGAAATTCATTTCATTGGCAGTCCTAATATATATCATTAATTAGATGTTTTCCTGGTTTTACTTTAACTTTTCACTTTGGGATGTTTAAGGGAGTATTTCAAAATTATCTATGAAGTTTCAATATTTCAACAAAATAATTCCTGAATTTTAAAACTTTAGAAATGATTTTGTAATGCAAATAAACTTGAGGAATGATTTTAAAATTTAACCTGATATTCACTGCTTCTCTAACCTTGATGTATGTTCCTTGCAGAACTCCTGCACTTGCCACTAAACTCTCCGGATGCCAAAGTCTTTGAGGATTTTGTTAATAGTGCCAAAGGAAGCAATTCTACATCATCACCTGCCGCTGGTAACAACCAAATCCATTATTATGTGAATGATATAAATTGGGTTTTATATAAAACGAATTTCTAGTGAATTGTTTTTATTGCTTTAATTGAAGGGAGTTCCACGAGCAAAGGAAAAGGATCAAGTGCACAATTAAAGAGTAATAATGGAGGAAGGGGAAACAGATGGTTGGTGGCTGATATGATTTGTGTAGTTACAACTTCCATGGTGCTTCGCATCTTCCTTGAGGCATGATGGACAATGTTGGGACATTACTTTCCCACACTCAACTGTTTCTTCCAAAACCATTATTGCTAATTTCTCTCCCTCTACTATTTACTTTTTATACATACTAACTTTTATAGGGACTCTCGCATATCTCTCTTGTTTGTTCTGTTTGTTTTTTTGTTCATACACAATATCACTAGGACTACTTGATATTTGAGAATGTTACATAAAAATATCAGTTCTTTTTTTACATTTTTTGCCTAATATTTTAAATTTCTCTTTTACTTGGAATCAATCATCCAATTTATTTAATAATAGATTTTGACTAAAAATTTTAATATCTATTAGATTAATATTAATATTAATATTAATATATAATACTAATTTAATAAATATTAAAATAATTAATTTACTAAATTAATTCATAATTAAATAGAGTTAATCATATCCTCTACTATCATGTGGGTAAATTGCACTAGGTAAAAATACAGAGCCTTCCACTATATGAATAAAAAAAAAAAATCAAACTTTCGACAATGTGAAAAGGAGAACATGTAGGAGTAGACCAAACGCCTCTCTCTCTCTCTCTCTCTCTAGTAACAAAATACCCTTTCTAATTACCGGTAATTTTTAATTTGGTGGTCACCCGTCCACGTATCCTAGGCCACAATAAAGCCATTTGCGGTGCTGTAAAGCCACGTTGTAGGCCCATATTTGATAAAGTTATTCAGGCAAAGCAGAGAGTTTTGCTATTTGTCGTGGGACTATTTTTAACAAGTTAGTTTTTTTATCAAAAGTAAAAAATTAATTTTTTTAACAAAAATATATAATAACATGGTTAAACTTTTAGTTGCAAAATTACATTTTTGCCTCAAGCATCTCTTCCTTTAACTATTAATTCATATGCAGTTATTTATGAACTATTGTTTTGAACTTTCTATCCCAATCAAACATATAGTTTATTTAATACTATTTTTAAATATATTATCTTTTTATTTCTCATAAATAAGTGAGTGTTATGCAGGAGTTCTAACTCATTGTAAAACAAACACTACAAGGAATTGCCTTGATTCCGACGGGCAAAATCCGTCGGAAAATATTAATTTTCTGTCGAAAAAACCTTTTCCGACGGAAATTTCTGACGGTTAAAAGTCTGTCGGAAAAAATCCCGTCGGAAAAATTTTCCGACGGAAAAACGTTGCCGTCGGAAATTTCCGACAGAAATATCCCGTCGAAAAATTTCCGACAGAATTTCTGACGGACAAAGACCGTCAGAAATATCTGGGAGAAATTTCCGACGGAAAAAGACCGTCGAAAATTTCCGACGGCCATATTCCGTCGGAAATTCCGCCAGAAATTTCTGGACGGTCCATGTCCGTCGGAAATTTCCGACAGCCGGTTTCCGCCGGAAACTTCCGGCGGAAATGGGCCGTCGAGAATTTCCGACTTCTGATGGCTCGATGCTACCGGAAATTTCCGGTGGAAATTTTCCGTCAGAAATTTTCCCTTATTATTTTTATTAATTTATTCGAAATTATTATAATTTTATTGTTTATTATGTATATTTATTTCATATTTTAAAAAAATTTAAGACATTAAATAAGCATGAAAACATCCATTATTTTCAATTATTATTAATTTATTTATAAATATTATATTTTTATTTTTTATTATGTATTATTTCATATTTAAAAAATGAAATACATTAAAAATAAGCACATAAAAATATAATTTTACAATAATAAAAACCCTGATCGCAATTAAATTAAAAATCTTATAATACAAAAATTAAAGTGTCTCAAATATGTCTAAATAAACAATAAACAAAAATACTACTCAGTGTCATCTGACGTACTATCATCATCAGACTCGTCATCATCGGACTCATGTCTCGGAATCGGCAATGACGACGTAGGAGGCGCAGAAGATGAATCAGGACGATCATGTTTGTCCAGCCTAGCAACCAAATACTTGACAGCCTCTCTCAACGTCCCCATTTCTGTTTGCATCGATCCCATCCTCTGACGCATGTCAGCCATTTCTGCTTCTAACTGTATATTACGAGATTGTGTAAAAGAAAATGCTGACTAATAGCGCTCTGCTGAAGACGGTTGTGACCCTAACCCATATATACGTCCTTTCGCCTTTCCGCCAACTACACGAGTCCAAATGTCCATCTCTGAATAAGTCGGAGTACTGCCAGGAGTATCAGAATCTCCAGCAGATGCTGGAGAAGACTGAGCCTCCTCAAGACGACGCTGATACTCGTGCTACATGAAAATATTAATTATATATAAAAAAAATATAACATAATACAAAAATTTAAAACTTATATATTATATTAAATTAACTCACAAATGTTCTCTCAGACCGCTCGTCAACCCATTTCTTGTCCTTCTTCCTAAGATGACAGTGCTGAAAAATATCTGCAAATGACGGAACTTTTCCACTTTCTTCCGCCTACAATAATGATCAATAAATGAATAATAGACAATTATTTTTATTATTTATTATTCAATACTTACCATTCTTCGAGCATGCTCGTGTGGGGGAATTGAACCTCCAGTATGAAGTGAGCCGCCCTTCTCAGAATGACGATTGCTCTTATTCTGAGCACTCAT